TTGCTGCATTGCTCAGTCATGCTCTTGATACAGGTAATATAGATGGGATAGAATTTCAGTGGGAAATGTTTAGTAAGGAGTAAGTTATTCTTCACCTTTGAGTTTTTGTTATTGATATAGAGAAGCGCCCAATTGCTCTCTATGTGGTGGGTATACATCAGGATTGTTTACCCTGAGATATCTCATATGATTCCATTTTTTCAGGAACCCTGGGGAGCAGTTAGAATGTAGAAGATTCTTAAAGCAAATGTACTTCACAGGGCCTGGTTTTCCAAAGCCTTGGAGTTTCAAATATTGACCTTGTGGAGGAGTGGAAATTTTCTTCAGGCTATAAAGTCTCGGTTGTAAGATACAGATTTGTGGCACAGCAAGGTTGCTGGCTCAAGGACAGACAGGTTACTGATTGATATGTGCAGATACTGGAAAATTGCTGGAGGGAGAAGGAAAGTTTGCTGAAATCAAGCTTTTGTTGACAGGACCACTTAGTTGCTTTACTGGAATGTCATCTGACTTGTTTCAGCGAAAGTTACCAGCCTATATTCTTAAACTATAACCCCTCCTGTGTTCTCTTCCTTTAACTTCGTGACCTGGAAAATAAATACAGGAAAAGAACCCCCAATTTGGGGTTAACTTCCTGAGGAAGGGATGCCTCTCCCTTGAGCATTCCCAAGGGAAGTTAACTACTTCGGGGCTTCTCACTGCTTAGAAGAGATGGCCTTTGAGTAATCCTTTGCATCTCCATCACCCAGAGGTAGTGGGTTGACAAATCTTTGGGGGGCAAAGCAACAGAGCAACAATAGAAGATGATGATGGGTTTTGAGGAGTTTATATCTGACTATAAATGAAAGCATTACAATAGAGTTTATCTGAGAAGCAGATAAAATGTGATGTATCTGGGTGGCAAAAGGGAAGTAAAAGAGTGAGCGGGGACATTTCTGACATAGCTGAAGATAACACTGAGCCTGGAGCAGTGGGATTGGAGGAGTTTTTTGGGGAAAAGCACGTCTGTTCTTAAGGGATGAGAAAAGGAGGAATAGCTAACTCCTGCCTGTCAGTAAAAGGCTCAGAAAATACTCAGCTTATGCAGGGCTAAAGAAGCAGAACAGGCAAATAAAAATTGCATGTATTTAGTGTATAAGATGTGATTTTTTGATGTAAGTATACACTGTAAAACTATGACGAGATAATTAATGTATCCATCAATTCATATAGATACTTTTTTTTTGTAGAGAGAATACTTATGATACACTCTTCACAAATGTCAAATATGCCTCAGTAATCCTGGGGTGGGGGCTTGGGGAAGATAACACAGAACATTAATCTAGGTAATTGTGTAACATTAAAACTAAGTAAGAATATAATGGAGAAATAAAAAGAAAAAAGAAAACAAAAAAACAAAAAAACAGAACTCTGGGACCAGATAGAGAAGATAGAGGTGAGAAAAAAATGTAAGGAACACTTACTGATGCCCATCATGTGTGAAGTACTGCACCGAGGCATCACGTTCACATCTTTTTTCTTTTCTTCTTTCTTTTTTTGGTAGAATCCTTAAACTACCCCATTTACCACATTTCATAGATTAACATTACCTATGAATGTCCACGGTGACCTGTTAATTGAATGGCAGAGTTCTTTTTATCAGGAATACAGTATAGTTTGCTGTCTCTCCTTCATCCTGAAGAACTGATTGCTTTTAGATTTACTCAGAGTTGCCTTTGTCATACATGAGATTACCTGTGAGT